CAGGACATCACACAAGCGATAAACACCCGATGACACAATGGGCCACCATGTGGATGAGGATCACCGTGGAGAGGTCACAGAAACCGCGTTCAGACATTTGGCCATTGTTATGGCCTGCCTATATTGCGGCCCCTGGCAAAAGCCAGAGTGGGGCTTCAAATAACAAAAAATTACGTCCTGAGAAGGACGTAAGGACTTGAAGCTATATCACAAAACTAGCTATAATTCCAAAATTCTCATAACAACGTTGTGCAAAAGTTTGTGAAGAATAGTATTTGCAATTATTTGAAATTATAAATATGAATTTAAACGCTTAGAACTGTTTTATAAATAAAAGGAAATCTGTCTTGCTCCAGCTGCTTGCTTGCCTGCTTGTTATACCCCACCAGGACATCACACAAGCGATAAACACCCGGTGACACAAAGTGCAACCATGTGGAGAGGTCCTAGGAACTTCTTTCAGTGGTTGTTGCCACATTTATGGCTTGGGTATATTCAGTAGGGCTGTACCGAATAGGGTTTTTCACCATTCGGCCGAATACGAATAGGGGGACCAACTATTCGGCCGAATACATATACGAATAGTGTATAGTCTATAAAATATATCTTAAAAAAATAAAAACTAATTCATAATGTCAAATGTACGCTGAACTTTTACTTCACATAAAGTAGCACAGAATAGTCATCTTCTTCTTTAGCATTTTGAGCCCTTGAGGTTTACTGCTGCAGATATCACTCGTCTCCATTAATCTCTCTGGCTGGCTTTCTCTTCACAATTTGTGACACCAGTTGTTTGCAGGTCTGACTGGACATTATCTCTCGAACGTATTTTTTGTCTGCCTCGTGGTCTACGCCCCTTCCTCTCTCAGGTGTATACAGTTTTACTTCTCTGTCATCTGACATTCTTTCAAAATGCCCCAACCATTTTAGTCTGTTAGCTCTCATGATGCCAGTGATCAATGGTGGTTTAAACAGATTATGTGTTACGTTGTTGCTTCTCACTCTCCATTCCCCGCTGTTAGCATCTTTGATGGGTATAAATATTTATCGTAAGACTGTTTTCGAAAACCTCTAATAAGGCCTCATCTCTTTTTTTTTTCTGCTTCAAGTTTCATAGCCACATAAAACGGCTAGTCATATCAACATTTTATATATTTTGATCTTGATGTTGCGAGACAGCACTTTGACTTTAGCAAATGTTGAAGGGCATAGTATACTTTATTTCTAAATTGTTTTATAGATTGTATTTCTTCTCTCAGCATGTTGGAGCAGTTGAAGTTTGCATCCAAATACTTGTATGTTTCCATTCTTTTGATTTTCATATTATCGATTTGGATGTGGCCAGAGTTTATATTCTTTCCATGTCTGGTTAGTATTCGTACAGAATAGTAAACATTTAAAAACATTTTATGTTTTGCATCCTTCAGTCAGTCTGTGGTAACTAAAAACTAGGAATGAAAGAATCCTAAGTATTATAACAAGTAACTAAACTTGGAAATTATCACTGACAGCTTAGTTAATGCATGAAAGCTACATTAGCTTTCAACAAAACCAATTGTTCCATGTTGTCAGTATTAAGGCCGTGTATGCAGAAGCGGGTGTAAGGTAACCACTATTCGTATTCGACCCGACCGCAACTATTCGGCCGAATAACAAATAGTCAATAGGTCTACTATTCGGCCCTGAAGCGAATACGAAGCGAATATTCGGTACAGTCCTAATATTCAGGACCCCCGGCAAAAGGCAGGGTGCGGCTTCAATTAGCGAAAAATTGCTTCCACATAGAACGACCGATTAGTTGAGTTCTTCTTTCAAAAGCTTCCAATTGATGCAGCAGATTTTTTGCAGGTTTTATGAAAACACACTGCCAAAATTTGAAACATTTATTTAAAATTTCCACAGCGTACCAAAACATTAAGCGTGGTACCAACTTCGGCAGCCCTGCTGCGATAGGTTCAGAAGGCTGAAAGGTTGTTCCCGACTTGCAGGTAGAATCCTACCTAGGAATAGAGCCATGTACAAATTAATTTTCTCACCTGGGGCCGTTTGAGTGACGTCAATAAATATAGCTGATAATAGAAACGGGTTGAATAGCACGTTTGTGTTACACCTGTCAGGTGTTGTTACTGCACGTCTGTGGTGTTCGTTTGATTGTTCTCTTTTCACCTTTATTAGTTTCTAAACTTTGCTTTTAATTATCTTGTTCTAGTTAGGTGAACATTCTTAAATATTTCCACGTCTAACTTAATTCGTTTAAACATCTAATCGTTTGAAAATTCGTTTCCATGTGTGAGTTAAGAAGCTGCATTTCGGGGTAAAAAGAACAGACCCACTTTACCCTCACAAACATGTCGTAAGAGTCGACTAATAAATGTTTTTTTTTTTCTAAGTCGGATTGCATCTGCCTAAGAGGCTAGCAAACAACAGGCTGGATACATATTGCAAGATTTGTTGAATGTTGAATTAAGAATCGACATCACAGCACTTGGGACACTCCCAAAAATGCTCCGTCCCCATCTTTAGCAGCAAGCGAAGAGTTCCAATTCAGTAAAAGTCTGACTGTATATCAGTCTCCTTCTTCCCCTGAGTGTTGAGCGTCGGCCAGATTCCCTGGTAACTCCTCGCAGCGCTATTGTATAAGCAAGATTTGTGAAACGGATGTGCACACATATCTCAGTTTCTGGAATAAGACAATGTCCACCTCGCTGTTTTATGTCTTCAGAAACCCCCCAAGGGTATACGCGCTGCCTCATGCGTACTCCCACAAACACAGTCACAAACACACACACACTGTCAAGCCCCACACACACTGTCAAGCCACACGCACACACACACTGTCAAGCCACACACACTCTGTCAAGCCACACACAAACACACTGTCAAGCCACACACACACACACGCGCACTGTCAAGCCGCAAACACACACATACACACACACACACCTTTCAAAGTACATACACAAACAGGTTTTCTCTCTTTATCTTTCTTCCACAAACACACAAATACACACACAAATACACACACAAACACACACACAAATACACGCACTCTGTCAAGGCTCTCTCTCTCTCTCTCTCTCCCTCACCCATTTCTACTTTTCCACGAACACTTTTCCACACACAGTTTTCCACAGACTCTCTTTCTCTCTGTCTCTCTCTCTCTGTCTCTCTCTCTCTCTCTCTCTCTCTCTCTCTCTCTCTCTCTCTCTGTCTGTCTTTCACACACACTTCCACACACGTGTCCATATCCCTTCTATTACCAACAAACCTTCCTACTCCCTCCTCCTCAAGACACAATCTTTCTGGTCCTTAAATGACATCATTTTACAACCTTTCTCTGGCATTATATCATGTTCTTTTCCTGTTTTAATTCCATGTTCTTTTCCTGAAATCATGTCACAATCTCTCACTCACATTGTTCTCATTAGTTGTTAATGACATCATTGTGTGTTATGTTTCGTGACACTTTTATCACTGATATCATTGTGTGTTATGTTTAGTGACACTTTTATCACTGATATCATTGTGTGTTATGTTTAGTGACACTTTTATCACTGATATCATTGTCTGTTATGTTTAGTGACACTTTTATCACTGATATCATTGTCTGTTATGTTTAGTGACACTTTTATCACTGATATCATTGTGTGTTATGTTTAGTGACACTTTTATCACTGATATCATTGTGTGTTATGTTTAGTGACACTTTTATCACTGATATCATTGTCTGTTATGTTTAGTGACACTTTTATCACTGATATCATTGTGTGTTATGTTTAGTGACACTTTTATCACTGATATCATTGTCTGTTATGTTTAGTGACACTTTTATCACTGATATCATTGTCTGTTATGTTTAGTGACACTTTTATCACTGATATCTATTGTGTGTTATGTTTACTGATATTTGTTGTCACTGACATCATTGTTTGTTCTGCTTACCGTCATTGTTGTCACTGATAACATTGATTATTATGTTTACAATCATTGTTGTCACTGGCATTGTTGTCTGTTATATTTACTGACATTGTCGTAACTGATATCATTGTCTATTATGTTTACTAATTTTGTTGTCATTTGTTGTTACTGACATTATTGTCTAATATGTTTACTGACATTACCCAGGGTCCTTATCCTGTCATTATTCCGTCTTTTTTATTTTAACCATTTCGCGACCTCTCACTGATACCATTCTACTTCTTTTTACTGACAATATTTTTCATGTTCTTTTCCTGATGTCCTCCCTTGTTCTTTTCCTGACATCCTTCCAGGACTGACACCATTTCATGCCTTTTTATTGATATAGTTCTATTTCCTTTATGGACACCAATCCATGTCTGTCCCTTTATTGACACCATTCCATGTCCCTTTATTGACATCATCCCATGTCCCTTTATTGACATCATTCCATGTCTCTTTATTGACACCATTCCATGTCCCTTTATTGACACCATTCCGCGGACTTCCGTTTTCAAAATGGCGGACAGCAGCTGTGTTTATTTTCGCTGGCTGTCAATTCTCTCGGATTATTCTGTTCTATAATCATGGACTGCTATTTTATGCGGATTTCCAACACAGGATATTATGTGTTTTTCGTGGGAACAGCGTGTATTGTGGTTGTGCTGTGTCGGGGCGGGATAATGACTGATAGTTTTGGCAGCCTCGGCCACGCTGTCTTCGCAATGTTTTGATCGCGGCGGTCCGCTCGGGAAGACAGAATCTCGTTAGCAGGGGACTGCAACTGTCTAGAGAGCAAACTCGATAAAAGCTGTCCCCAGAAACGGAATGTGTCAACCATATATTTGGTGGGGGGGAATCGACACATACGGTTAACTCAATGGCCATGACACCATTCCATGTCCCTTTCTGGACACCATTTCATGTCCCTTTATTGCCATCGTTCCATGTCCTTCATTGACACTATTATATGACATCTTACTGAAATTCCATGACCTTTTACGGTCATAATTGCCTGTTATTAGTACTGACCAACGTTTCAGATCTGAAAGGCGGAATCATCGCGGCCATGACCAACCAGTACAACTTCATGAGGAGCGCTTTGTTGGCCAGGAACTACGAGCTGGAGAAGTTGGTCTCCTCGTTAACGGTTCTGGTTGAGGTTACATCTGATGGACTCCATTCAGCCCTGATGGCGCATAGGATGACCATGGATGAGGTAAGTATTATCTAGCGACCTCAGTGTGTGTGTGTTTTCGGTGCATCATTTTGAGTAAAATAGAATAGACACACTATTCGCTGGAATGTCGGTGTAAAAGATGGGTAGGTAGGTGGTTGTACCCCACTATGACATTGCACAAGCGATAAACACCCGGTGACACAAAGTGCCATCATGCGGATGAGGATCACCAGTGGAGAGGTCACAAAAACCGCTTTCAGTCGTTAGGCCATAACTGTGGCTATGCCATATCTATGCCCCTATTATAGTCAGGGCCCCTGGCAAAAAAATAAGAGACACAAAATCGACAAATATTGTAGAAAGCGACCTAGCAGTGCTTTCTTCAAAGTCAGTGTGCATATGAATGAGAGGAGAGGAACCAACAGTCTGCATGCAGATAAGTCAAATCGGTATAACTTAAGTTCTGTAGCAAGGTTAAAATCTAAGGCGGTCGAAAAACTAAATCTTTCCGCCGGAGTTTATATCTAGTGAACGCAAAGAAGAAGGTGGATGGGATTGTTGTGGGCTAGTTAGTTTATATTTTAGCTCTGTTTTTCACTCTCCGGGCTGCTCCTGTCAGCTTGATAACTCTGTGATTACAACATCTCATCCGGATGGCAGACCAACAGGGAAAGTTCCGGATACCCTGTGTAGTCTCCAACGATATTATAATTGAGGAACCCACAACGGTTACACAGGCCGGCTGTAACTTTCAGTCCTGCAGGGATATACCTAAATGTTTTGGTTAGTATGTGTGAGCACTTTAAGTAACACGTGTCCTAGGAGTTTCTGCTGTCCAGACCTGTTATGGATATTTCTTGAAGAGACCTCAGATAAATGATTTTGTGTGTGTATATATATATATATATAGAAGTGTATCTTCTTGTAACATGCTGGTGAAGAGTTTCTAGCCGAAACGTTAATTGTTCGTTTGTGATTGCAGTATGGTGAGTGAGTTAAGGTGAACCCCACGAGGACTGCACAGTAAGCAGTCAACACTCTGCGGAGCAAAGATCCACTATTCGAAGGGCAATTACCCCAGGTGGAAATCCCTGAAACCCCGTTCAAACAGAAAGTTTTTGTGGGATCTCTGAGGGTTACATAACAATCTAAGTCCAGACAGGGTAGGACTGAATAATGTCCAACCCCATCAGAACCTCACAACGAGCTACAAACACCCGGTGGCACAAGCTGCCACCATTCCGATGAGAATCCCCCAGGTGCAAGTCCCAGAAACCCCGTTCAACCGTTAGGTATATCGGGTGTTTCACTCTCTGCGGAACCTAGTATTTCGATCATAACTCGGACACTAATAAATGTATGGCAATGAAATTTGGAGTAGACTTACCTCCTTTCATGCGAAGTCGGGTGACATCATAACAAATGCTGGAAATGGCCAACAAACCGCGAACCATAGAGGCATTGTAAGCAAACATGCCAGCAGTAACACCTCACGCAGTGAGACGAACTTTGCACAACATGAAACGCCGCGTCCAATGCTGCCTGTACGCGAATGGTGACTATTTCCAGACAAAACCTACACCCCCCCCCCCCCCTTTTTCCATAGACTATAGGACTGTTCCAAAGAAATTTTCAACGAAATCTCGCACCAGACAAGATGAGGTGGGGGGAAAAAAACGAATAGTACCCTGGTTTGGTTTGATATATTTTTACGGTACTTTTTTACAGTACGGTATCTTCAATGTTATATTATCCTTTGTGAATTTATGTCCTTACTTGTGGCCTTTACCGCTGTCCTTACTTGTGACCTCGTACCGTTGTCCTTACTTGTGACCTTGTACCGCTGCCCTTGACCAGGTGTCGAAGGTCAACCTAACCCTACTGGCAGTGAGGAGGTTGGTGTCCAGGGAGCTCATGAAACGAGAACCAGTGAAAGACAGCAAGGGACAAAACTACGGTAAACGATGTGCTATCTTCATTTGAATTGTTTCCCTTATTTAATGACGTTAATTGAAGTCTCAACTGTTGTATCTCTGTGCTGTCAATGCTACATTCCTTTACTTGCTCTTATTGCTACATTCCTGAACACGCCCATGTTGTTTTTACTACAATCATTAATTGTTCGAAGGGCTGTCAATAAAACAGTTATAAGATAAAATCGGAAATTATGAAACCCGAAGAAAAATGGGGGTACGACAGTTCTGGATTTCATTAGAAGACTACAAGTGAAATGGTTTGGCCATAGCACGCGGATGTTAGCAGACTGTATTCCACAGCAAGCAGTGATGTACAGATCAGATAGCAAGCGGAGAAGAGGCCTACCATGCAAACTATAAACAGAGAGAATTACATTTATGTGTTTCTATATATGTTTCCACACCGCAAGTCCAAGTTATAAGTAACCGTTTCGTAGTGCCCTCTGGATAACTGCTACGTAGGTTGAACAGGGTTTCTAAGATGTTTTAAAATTCTCGTCCTTGAAATGTTTTGCTTCAGACTACAATCCTCGAAGGGGAAAATAAAAAGAAGAAGAAGAAGAAGAAGAAGAAGAAGAAGAAGAAGAACAAGAAGAAGAAGAAGAAGAAGAAGAAGAAGAAGAAGAAGAAGAAGAAGAAGAAGAAGAAGAAGAAAGAAGAAGAAGAAGAAGAAGAAGAAGAAGAAGAAGAAGAAGGAAGAAGAAGAAGAAGAAGAAGAAGAAGAAGAAGAAGAAGAATAAGAAGAAGAAGAAGAAGAAGAAATAAAGAGAGAGAGAGAGAGGAGGGAGAGAGGGAGAGAGAGAGAGAGAGAGAGAGAGAGAGAGAGAGAGACAGAGGAGGGGGGAGGGAAGGTGAGGGAACAAAGGAAAACGTCAAACAAAAAAGATAAGAATATTCTTCACCAAGCGTAAAACAATACCATAGATCAGCGGTTTATTTGACAGGATGCGAACCATAATTTGGTTGTTAGATGTTCGCATTTCACCACGTCCTGGCCTCCAATTTGATGAAAGTTCGTCCTCATGTGGGCTTCTGTGGGGGCCCTTTATTTAGATTGTTCAATCTCGCATTTTTCCTTACACTGTGATCACCATTCAGCTTCACTCTTGATTTAATTTTGCTCTTCTTTAAGATAACCTTTTAGCGTTTTCTTTCTGGTATTAATCCCCCCTCTGTGATCACCATTCAAATTCTCCTGGTCCATCTATATATATATGTATATATATATATATATATATATATATATATATATATATATATATATATATATATATATATATATATATATATATATATATATACCCTCTTCTGTCATCACCTTTCAACTTCTCACAGCTTGTATTTATCCCATCTCTGTGATTATCTGTTATATCACTTATTTATCCTTTCCCTGGGGCCACCATTGAACTTCTCCCCCTCCCATATACCTGTTTCTGTTATTATTATCTAGTTTTTCCAATCTCGTATTTATCCTTTATTTTTGATCACCATTTAGCTTCTATAATCTTGTATGTATCATGGCCACAGTTAGCTTACACAGTCTCGCATTCATCACTTCTCTCTGATCACAATTCAGCTTTTATGGACTTGTAGTTATTCTTTCTCTGTGATCCACTTTTAGCTTTTCCATCTTCTTTGTGATCTCTATTTAGTTTTTTTTTTTTTTTTAACCTATCTCGTATTTATCCTCTGTCTATTAACCCCATTAAGCTTCTCCCGGTTCGCATTTATAATTTTTTCATTCACGTGATCACCATTGAACACTGCAGTCGACAGGAGGCTCGCTTTCAAATCCAGCTGCAACTCGTACAGCCCGGTCGGTGTTCGAAACCGGGCGGTTCCCGGGGTTCACCCAGCCCCTAGGAAATGGGTACCAGAGTGACAATCTGGGGTAAACTGAGAAACGTCACTGTAGCTATGGACGGCGACACAGGCGTACAGTTTCCTATCAGCTTTACGTTTTGTTGTCAGAGCACATATGGTTTATAACCGTGTGCAATGACGCTGGTTCACATCTCCCGACTTTACCTTTACCCTTTTTAACACCTTGATCAATCTCTCAACAGATCAGTGTCCGAAAGAAATCTCGGCCATTGGGTCTGGAAGCTACCGGAGTGTCAAGTGGTCGGTAGGAGCGTACATGGTGCAGTCTGTCCACCCCAGCGAGTTCAGGTCCGTCTACGTTCTGGAGAACATGCACTCTCCGGACCAGATTATGGAATACCACTCTCCAGATGACGTAGCGTGGGATGTACCTGCGGCCTACATTTTACTTCCTACAGCTTGTTCTGGAACGGGACACGTCGTGTACAGGTAAGTGTATGGGAAGGTAATTTCGTTTCTCTGAAGGGGGAGCGGTATTGCTATCTAGGGTGATTTTGGGAGGAGGTTCTCTTTAGGGTGAGGTTAAGAGTGTTCTCCCTCGGGTGACCTGGGGTGTTGCTCTCTAGAGTGACCTGGGGGAGGAGGAGGGGGCGGGGGTTATTATCTCTAAGGTGACCTGGTGTAAGGGGAGGGGCAGGGGTTATTATCTCTAGGGTGACCTGGTGTAAGGGGAGGGGGAGGGGCAGGGGTTATTATCTCTAGGGTGACCTGGTGTAAGAGGAGGGGGGGGGGTTATTATCTCTAGGGTGACCTGGTGTAAGGGGAGGGGGGAGCGGGGGTTATTATCTCTAGGGTGACCTGGTGTAAGGGGGAGGGGGGGGGGGGGGTTCTCTCTAGGGTAACCTGTGGCGGGGGTTCTCTCTAGGGTGACCTGGGGTGTTGCTCTCTAGGGTGACCTGAGGTGTTGCTCTCTAGGGTGACCCGAGGTGTTGCTCTCTAGGGTGACCCGACGTGTTGCTCTCTAGGGTGACCCGAGGTGTTGCTCTCTAGGGTGACCCGATGTGTTGCTCTCTAGGGTGACCCGAGGTGTTGCTCTCTAGGGTGACCCGAGGTGTTGCTCTCTAGGGTGACCCGAGGTGTTGCTCTCTAGGGTGACCCGAGGTGTTGCTCTCTAGGGTGACCCGAGGTGTTGCTCTCTAGGGTGACCCGAGGTGTTGCTCTCTAGGGTGACCCGAGGTG